TTTWAAAMYYCTAGCAATTATTGCAACTCTGTGTTGCGATAAGAAACATAAAGAAACAAAAAAAGTTATAACAGCAAGAACTGAAAATTGCGATAATCTACGAGAAGATACATGTACTGATAGACGGATAAGCACAATAATTGACTACAATAGACTTGGGARCTTATACGATACAGTTGCGATTGGTTCGCTTTTTCATCCCCCTCGGGAGTCATGGTACAGCTTTTTCAGCGCTTATCTACTAAAACTGAACAGACTGATCGGGAATTAACTTAACCAGAAGCTTCGTCAAAACCAAATTTTAGCAAAACCTGGTACACTTCAGATCACATTCTTTTCAATAGGATACTACAATAGTCCAGTTGATTCCTGTTGACACAGAGAATCGTGAAGTGCATATAATCGATTAGTGGATATGATGTCACAAGTCGGCTGGAGTTCATCAGCTAAACTTTCGCTGAATCATGACCATACAAATGCGAAAAGCTTATCAGGGATCAGCTCAACAATAACCAGGTAATTAACCAGAAAACTATAATTATGAGGGAGTTATCATGGTAGCTCAGTTATAATACTCAGTGATCTGAAAAGATGAGATTCCTGTAACTAAATTGGCAATTCATTCAGTAGTTTTCACATTTAAATATAGTCATAAAGTTATTTTTTGCATCCTGTATTTTGTTTTTTACAAACTTTTTTTCGCACTCTACTTTTCATTTTACATTCTTTTGCCTTTTTTGATGGTGAAAATGTAAGTTTTAAGACCTTTTCACGCTTATTTCKCATAATGAATTACTTGAGAATTATTCAGAAAGTCTTAATTGCACACATACATGTAATTTTTACTCTCAAAATAATTGATCATAACTTAGAAGCGTAAAAAAAGTCGATTCTTCGAGAGTAAGCTAGTAAAGAATTGAATGCTTCGAGAGTACGGGATCGAGAAATTTCTAGCTAGCAATTTGATGACAATGGTGTGCTGTGCGATACTTTTAAGATCGCGTCATATTGATTGATTTTCGTGTGGTATTTGTTTTGTTATTACATATGTTTGTCATTTTGCAGCTGTACAAAATATAGAATTATTAAACTGACAGTTCCACAATACCGAAAAACAAATATTTGTCGATCATCTTGAGATGAATCCCACGCTATAATCTTTTATGAAAAAGACAAATAAGAAGCATATTGGCTATTGCAAGTTTTGCTATGATCATCAGAAATTATTTCTCTTTTCATAAATAAGTTCTAGTTGTTCATAAATCTTATAATTGCACTTTGCAAATTAAGTTAATTTGGAGTTGAATAATTCTCATGCCGGTTTTGTTACGGCCAACAGTAATCAGTTAACACATATGAGGAGCAAGCAGGAAGGATATAGTTATATCACAAAATTGATGAATTAAAAGACAAAATTAAGTGTCTTAGCTTGTGTGGTAGTTGTCAGATATGAATTAAAAAACAAAATTAAGTGCCTTAGCTTGACTGATGGTTGTCAGTTATATAACCTCTAAAATGAAAAGTTAGTAATATTGTTTTTGCAACAACATCAACAAATATTGCTCTTTTTCCTACGTGCTATGTGGAACTCTGTCGGGTGAAGATTTTCAAGGRAAATCCACTTTATCTGGTGGATAGCTGGAGCTCGTCGGCAATTAACACCTCAATAGCTTTTAGTTTGTTTCATTTCATTAGCTATTATGAATAGTTACATACTCGGCCCTCTCAGTTCATAACTACTTATGAGTATGTCGAACAGATTCAATGCCCCTCAAGCACCGAATGACGCGTCAATTATGATAATGCACCATTTACTGAAGCGTTAAAAACCGATCAACAAGCTGATGTAAGTCTCTTATAAATTATCAGTTTATAGTGATGGTCTGACCTGCGTCGATCATTTGAAATCAKTATATACTTACTTCAACCGATAATTCAAGCAATTCATAAACAAGTTCATGTACTTATGTTTCATCTCCAATTGTTCCAACAGTATTGTGAAAGCAATGAATAGCAGTGACAACTCAACGGTTGCAACTTTAACCCGACCACATGACGAGATTATTTCGCTATCAGTTTCTTTGGCCATCATCATTGCATTGAGTCTCTGTGGGAACTTTCTACTGATTTTGGCATTCGTAAGAGACGATCGACTGAGAGCAAGCTTCGCCAACAAGTTAATCATGAGTCTTGCCATGGCTGACTTCCTGACAGCTGCTTTCCCATTAACTTACCAACTTGTTACACTTATAAATGTTGATCTTATCAGAAATGGTGGGTTTCTGTGTACTGTAGGAGGACTGGCATCGTATTCATTTTTCTTTACTTCTGTTWTTACGTTGGTAATGCTGAGTGTTGATCGATTCATTGCCCTCGGCTTTCCACTGCGGTATAAACAACTCATGAAACCAAAAACACAGCTCTTCATGATTACGTACCCGTGGATTCACGGCGCGTTGTTCTTTGCGTTTTGTGCAGTTTTCACTGATGTGAAATACGGGCCTAAAAGTTTTGATTGTGGTTTATCTTGGAAAACGCGTTCAGTAGCGTTTACGTTGACGATCTTGATGATCCATATTGGGATTCCTTTGTTTTTGCTGATTGTTTTGAATACATGGACACTGGCGTTAGTGAGGGCACAGAACAAGAAAATCCTGGAATACAGTAGAAAGGATGCTGTTAATAAAGACAACAGCGCAACAAGAAAAGCGTACAATAGAAGAGGTTAGAATTGTATTATTCTTTAATTCGTGTTACGATCTTCCTGTTCCTAATTTCCGGGGTCCTTCCCTTACGGTCCACTGCCTTTTTTCGTCTTTTTTTCAAATTTCGTTTTTTTTTTCAGTCATTTCAATTCCTTTTCTTTTCGTGTCGTTTTTTCTGTGTATCCAATATTGTGACTACTTCTCGGCATTTTTCAGTAATAAGTCATGAGTATTTGGCCAAAAACACTTCAAAAACCTCTCGAGAATATATAAAAATATACTTGAAAACCTTCATCCTACGTCTTAAGGAAGATTGTATGGTTAAGTCACAAATCATGAAAATTCAAAAACTAGATTCTTAAACTTGAGTTGACGTTCAAGGATTAAAATAACGAAATGGAAATTGTGAACGAAAAGACCCAACTAAATATTAAATAGGTGGAAATTACTATTTACAAGAAAGAAAACTAGAAATTAATAGCCGAGTTTAGATATTTTGGTTCAGTGACCATGCACAAAAGAATTGCAGACGAGGCTCCGGGGAAATAAAGAATAAAACGATATTATACGCTCTTTGATTGGTCATTTTGAAGCGTGCACTTCAAAATAACTCTTTGCAATATTWAAAAAAATAAAATTATCAATGGATAATCTTGATTTATTCTTTATTTCCCCGGAGCCTCGTCTGCAATTCTTTCGTGCATGGTCACTGAACCAAAATATCTAAACTCGGCTATTATGACAGAATGATATTCTCTTCTTTCAGCAAACATTGAATGCAGGCTTGCAAGAGTTTCCATCGTTATCATATTCGTCTTTCTCGCATGTTGGACACCATATGTAGTTACCAGAACTTTTGAATTTTTTGGTCTCAGCCTCTCTTCGGGGTTAATGTCCGGGGCGGCCTGGTCAGTGCATGCGTCATCATTTGTTAATCCAATGATTTATTCGTCTCTTCGAGCTGACCTGCGCAGATCAATGTTCAGCGTCTTCCGGTGCTGTAAGTTAAGGGTTTCTCACGAAGTTAAACCAACGTCGGATGTGAAACTTGTCACGGTTGGCAGTAGTGGTGATTGCGTGACGACGAGCACCACAAGACAATTTAACGCACTAAACGTCAATAACGCTTAAAACTCCTTAAAACTTMATRTTTATTTATATCCTTATAATTGTCTTTCTTTGATGGGTTTCCTGTGTAATGTGCGCGAAACAGTGGTGCACTCGCACACAACTGCCTCGAATAGCACACTTGATCATGTGACAAAGAAAGGATTTGAAACGAGGCAAGAAGACCTTTAAATTTATGTGGCATACGCCAAGTTGACTGATTGGTCATTTATTTAGTCTCCCACATGGAAAAACGTCCACTGGCAGGTGAATTTCGAGATTATCTAACTAGAATTATTGGTCCTTGTTGTCAGCTGTCTCTGTAAGGCGTTTGAGCAATGTCATTATTTGATAGTGCATGAGAGTCATATGAGAGTGCAYTTTTATTCGTTTAAGTCGCGTGGCTATTCAGACAAGTTTTTTCTTGTTATTTTCCCTTTGGAAACAAGTTAACGCAGTGATCGCGAAATAAAATTTAGAGTTACTGCCGTCAAATCGAGTCTTGTGTGCTAGAAAACTAGAAACTAGAAAAATTATACAACGCGGCTTGAAGGATGATCAGCGCCATGTGGAGCGGACTTTCAAAATGGTCGCCAACAATGATTTTGATATGAATACCGATTATTGCAAATTCAGTTTCAATTTTGAATACAAGAAAAAAAACACATCAATTAATATTCTTAAAGCAATAGATTACAAAAGTTTGGCAAGTCAAAACTTCTCAGTCAAAAATAAAAAAAGATCATTTTTAAAGGCACCGGAAAAGCGTTTACAATTGACTRAAGGTTGACATATCCATTTTAATTCCCATTATGAACAATTACGAAAGCATTGAATAATCTTAGGGCWTTGTGGTGGGGTTTTATTTGCCAATGCACATATAAATAACTAGAATTTAATTCACCTTTAAAGAAAAATATTTACATTACGAGACATCTTCAAGTCGTCTGAAGTAGCGGCGCTCTCCTGCATTTAATTTCATTCATTAAARTTAATTATTTTATTGATTAAACTTAAGTTTGAATTATTACTAGAATAGTTGATAAATATTTTGAGATTTTAATTATTATGGACACGTTTCGAAACCTTGTAGTTCTCGAAAGCAAAGATTATTCGTGATCAACTGTTCGTAACTACGGGACGGATCTGCCAATCACAAACCTTCACCATAGGTTTTAATCTCGCGGTTCATGTTCAAGCATGGGGATCTTTCATTTTAAGACAAACTGAACCTTGAATCAAAAACCTGAAGATTGGAATATAGTTCCTGTTACTGAATTTTTTGATAATWTCATCGATTAAGATGCCTAACAACACCACAAATTGTAGTATTCTCGATCTGGATCAATCATTTCCTTTTCGATCAAAAACATCCGTGATAATATTGTCGTTTTTCATGGGACTTATTATYATATTAAGCGTAAGTGGAAACATTTTACTGATTTCTGCAATCTTGAGAAGCCAACGTCTGCGTTCTGCCTTTGCGAACAAGTTAATCACGAGCCTGGCGTTGTCCGACTTTTTAACTGCTGCTATACCTCTTACATATCAGCTTGCCACGGTCATCAACATCAACCTTATAAGTAATGGAGGTCTTCTATGTACTATAGGCGGGCTTTCGGCGTACGCCTTCTTCTACGCTTCTCTGATGACAATGGTGATGTTAAGCGCTGATCGCTTCATCGCTCTTGGATTTCCGCTTCAATACTCTCTTCGTATGACGTTCAAAGTTCGGACAGCAATGCTATTGTACCCTTGGCTTCACACCGTCATTTTCTGTGTTTTCTCTCTGACGTACACTGACATCGAGTTCGAATGGGAGAGCATGGCTTGTGGGTTTTCGTGGGATAAGGTGCCAATGGGTTTTAGTCTCTATTTACTGCTAGTTCACGTATCTATACCGTTTGTTCTTCTGTTTGTTCTTTGTTCGTGGACTGTACATCTAGTTCGAGCGCAGAATAAAGAGATTTTACGACTGCAAGCGMGGGTGTCACCRGMGGAGGAAGACCGTTCGGACAGACAGAAAAAACTRAGAGCTTCAAGGCGAGGTAAGAAAATGTTTTCTATTAGYCTATGGTGAATTTGAGTGAAAGATTTTTAATAGAACATTAAATAGGTATTTTTCTAGCATTATGACAGTTATGAAGATCTAGTCAACTTGAATGAATACAGTCCGGATAGAAAGTTGTTCGCGGGATACCGGAAATTGAATACAGTTAGCGATCAAACTCAGTTGTGAATTCTCTAATAGGATCATAAYATATGCAAATCGGTCAGTTAAATATGAAAAACAGGAAAATACTGGTTGTATGAAATATTTCTCGCTATACAAACCATTAATTGACTTTCGCGCAGTAAAAAGATTATTTGGTTATTATAGATCCATAAACATTTGAAATACGACAGATATTTTGCTTAAAATGTTARCACATTAAAAAAGGATCARTGTGTGAGAGGTTTTCATCGGGTTCGCATTGAGAAATCGGTGTTTTAAAACTCCGGTTTCGAGAGATCTCATTTGTGCAGCCTTAACCTAGAAATCATTTTTCTTTTAGCAGAGATCCTATTGTAATGTAGCCTCGTAAAGGCTGTGAGAGGAGACTTATTGTTAATGTAAACACTCCTGGGAACAAAGAAGACAATAAAAATTTATACTCGATTGAAGCTAAGCTTGCACAAAAGAGAATTCGAAACTACAATTGTAGTGTATTTTAGATTAACATGATACCTATAACAGAATGAGACAATTGAACAATCAATCTATCTCTTGCTAACAAATGCTATTTACGATTGCATCAGTAGCCCAAACGGATAAAGTAACTAGAAAGTGTTAGGAACAGATGTAAAATTCTCTCGGGAAAAGAGTAATAAAAATTGTCCTTTCCAGTAATGACGTCATGATTGTTTTATCGAAGTGCATCATGGTATTGAAAAAAGTTTCAAGATGGCGCGCGTCTTGAAAAAACTACGAAAGACGAAGTTTCTTTGCAAAATTAATGTTATCAGGTGTCCAGAATACTTTGAAAGAACTTTAAACAAGATATCTAGCAGTAATACGTATACTGAAAGAACTATCTGGGAAATAGATGTTTACGGTTTGCAAATTAAACAGGGTACGAGAACACATGGCTTCGGTTTGCACTTTTGTCATTCCCATAGCGCATCCCGCTGAACATCGCAAGAAAATCATTTAATGATGGCTGACCTATAGTGGCCATGACTAGACGGGTTCCCTGTGCCTGGGGTCGTACATGTCCGCCATATTGACTTCTGTTTTTTCTTTAATTTCAGCTTCAGAAAATAAGCTGGCGAAAATCACCATCGCCATTGTGTTCATCTTTTTAATCAGTTGGAGCCCGTATGTAGTTACCAGGGCTTTCATCGCCTTCGTGGGCACGAAATTCTCCACTGATACCCTAACAGCAACAGCTTTGACTGTCTACATCTCGCTGTTCTCAAATCCCATAATTTATTCTTCGCTTAGAACTGATTTACGACGTCAAATGCTTTGCTGTTTAGCGGATTTTTAGAGCTGAGATTTTCGCTCATGAAAGATGGCGGCGAGACTAATCTTCCCAGTGATCCCTTGCGCACCGCTGTTAACATAAAAGCTGACGTCACTCTTTTATTTTTCATAACACAAATGTATAAGAAGAAAATTAACTTTATTATGAAAAAGTGATTATTGTTATTTTATGCCTTTTATACAAAATAAAATATTTAATACCTTGCAAAGAACATAACTCACTTGGAAGATGAAATTTTCTAATTGCCTTGTTTGGATATACGTAAAATGGCCTTACATTCATATCACCTCTTTGATCTTGACAACGATTTTTCAATTAGATGCATATTATAACTGAATTCATTTGTCCTATGATATCAACACATTCATGCATAATTATTATTACGATATTTAGTGTTATATGGTTTTGCAGATCATTTCTGACATTTAATAAACTGAATAATACTAAAACTCTAACAATTCTGCAACCATCGAGTCTAAATCCTCGTCTGCTTGAGGTTTGCGATTCGAGCCAGACTTAGTGTTCGTTTTTTGCACTTTCTTCACACGTTTGTCATTAAATCCACTAGATGCTTTTTTGCCGGTATCATTTGTTAAATGGCCCTCTTCAGCATCGATTGAATTCACGGATTTATTAACTTTTTTCTTGCTTTGCTGTCGTTTMTTTTCGTTTACTTTGCTGTTATCCTCGTCATCCGTCGTCAAATCCACTTCATCGTCTGCTGATTCTTGATCTGAAGAATTATCGTCGGACACTTTTGAAGAAGAAGAATTGTCTTCAGATTCATTATCGCTACTATTTTTGCTCGATTCTGACGAGGTAGAATCCAAAACGTCATCTGCGATATCACGACTTTGGGAGGAAGCTAATCGAAGGTCTTCAWATTCTTTTTTTCTTCTTTCCACATTGTTAAATATTTCTTTTAGAGCTTTTTCGTCTTCCTTTGTAAACAAATTGTCTCCTGCTGATTTCCGAGTSAGYGATTTTTTCGATTCTTTCTTTTTTTGTATCATCTCCRCTTCTTCAAGAAGTAAATCTAGTTCTGTATCGCTGACCACATTTCTGTCGCTATTCGTGCTCTGTTGCTTCGTGAGCTTCGAATGTGTGGACTTAGACATTTGTATTGTTGTCAACAGAAACCAGTTTGAGAAAATATGACCACGTTTTTGGGGATATTTTGAGTAAACTTCCSAAGGTTTTGAAACAAGGCGTTCTTGTTGCTTTCACATTACTTTTGTCCTGTCGCTGTCGTCCGATTATAGTTTAACACCACCRAACAYCATCTTCTTCGCTTAAATTATAATTTAACTGTATCAATGGATGAGATAAGCGGATGTCTTAATAACCACAATACTATTTCAGCCCACTAATAAACTCAAATTGATTGTTTCTGAAGGATGGAGTGGAAAACAACTTATYYRGAACCGGTTTTCGCAGTGAGTACTMGTAAAGAAAACACTTCTTCGTTGTCAAAATATTGTTAATAATTGATAGACTCGAATTGAAACAATGGTATTCTCTTCCAACATAAAGATGCGAAAAAAATCCAATTAAGGTAATTTCTGTCACCATTGGTGACGAATATAAATTCGAGTAATAAACGAAGAGAACAAATCCTTTTGGAAAAAGTATATGCGTAAAATATCTCACAAAATATATATATCTATAGGGTATTTTAATAATTAAAATTATTTTGTGTGTTTACGTTTTCCTTCTAGTTTTCATTTGTTTGTTCAGTTGTCGTGAAAAAAAATTGATATCTTGATCTTGTTTTTTACGTTTTTTATTGCGTTTTTTTGTATATTTTCATAGTTTTTTTTCGTGACCCTAAGACGGAGAAATAGCGCTACCGTTACGGACAGAGAATCAACAAATATATTGCATCACAACACCTGTCATTTACTTCAYTCTTTGTTTTGAATTTTCATATACATGTAAAGGTAAAGCTCTTAGTGCGTATATTGAGAGGGTGACGTAATCGTAATTATGGGCGGTCACCAGAACTATTTACGACACTTGCAGACTGTTTTTATTAAKTCTGAACAAACTGCAATGCATATGCGCACACGAAGTTTATCCGGATTTCGTGTGGGGATGGATTTACTGTCATTTGCAGGCCTAATTTGTTTCGTTCTCGAGATATCCTGTAAATCCAAATGCTTGAGAAGTTCCCTGCTAGCAAAGTATCTCTAGTTTGTAAAAAAAAATAACAAAAAAAAAATCAATCAAATTGCCCTCGTTTGTACATCGTTGTCACGGAAGATTCTTGGAAAAGTTTCTTACCTATCGAGAAGTTGTTCTACAACCCATTTAAAGTTAGTATAAATGGAGACGGCATGTTAACAAATTAACAATAAATTTATTTACAAAATTACCCCAGCCAGCTTAAAATCATTAAACAACCTTAAGTTGTTTGTTAAGCATCTATATATTGTCTAATTTAACACTAAAGACGGAAAATTCGGAGTTTGAGACGGAAAATTTGTCTCGGATGGAAGCATTTTCTCATGAAGTTAAAGAAAGGTATAAAAACAAACGGAAATCAGGAATTACAAGTAAATTATATGAGATTAGCTCTGAGTACTAGTCTCGCTCGAGAGCAAACAGCGAGAGAGACTTATGGATCAAGCCGAAATAAATGACGCTTTTTTTTTCGTCTGTAATTCTCAGCAGGAGAAATACACCATCGATCGATTTTCCGCCTCTGGCGAATTTTTAAGAACAAGAAGCTAATAATTGAAGTTTCCATTTTTGAAGGAATGACGCACGACTGCAATTAACCTAAATACAAAAAAGCAAAGTTCTTTTAAATTTTGACTTAAAAGTCATTGATCATCCTGAACTTAACTTCAAATTCTATTTACAAGGACCAGTGAGTTCAGGTCGATTACAGCAGACTAGCGAAAAACATTTATAACTTCTGAATATTGTGTCCATATACTGGCTTACRTGTTACTTATAAACAAACTCAATACGTTGCGACCAAACCTTTTTGGAAGTGTAAATTTTCTTATAAAATTTTAAAGTGGTTTGAATTATTAGAAGATAAAGWAATTAAATATTTGAATTAGAACCCACGTTCACGAGGAACTTTAAACTCGCTCCTAAGAAATTGCCGTTGCACCATGTGGGATAGACTTGTCTATAATATAATAATGAGCATGCGCAATGAGTATAAAATACGCTCGCTCGTGCTCCGTCTATCAAGCTGAAGTTCAAGGCCCACGTGCATCCATGAATCTTTGCGCTCGTTTATACTRTTTTACCTATACGATCTCTAGTTGAAATGTGCTTTCTGGCTGGTTCAAAATYAAASATGGCGAATTTTCGTATCTGAGAAATTCGCGCAAAGGTTCTTGAATGCACATGGGCCTTTTGTTAGTGCAAACTGGCCCATCTGAAGCAATATAAAATTCCTTTGACAAAAATTACGAGAGGCCATCTCTGATAGGTCCGTGBAGTTCCTCTTCTAGTCGGACACATGTCGGTGTGGCCGCGACTAAAGACGACGACACGTTACTTTTATGACTGCATCCACTGTGGACACTATTCTCGCTTCCCAGAGGAGTACCGGGTAGAGATACATCGACATGAACTTGCAGTTCTTGAGGCTCATCGTCTTCTAAAATAATTCAATTATCGACTGTCAAGTGGGCTTTGTTTTAACTACCAACTGAATGCTTTAAAAATACCTAACCCCAATAAATATCGAATAYTGTWCAGWATATTACTTATGAAACATTGAGGTAAACTTGCTCAGGTTTTAAAGAAACTTTTGAAACAAAAAAGAATTCAATCTGACCGAGAAAATCCTGAACAAAAATCTGCATGTGGATTCACAACTCTCTTCATTGGTTATGATTTCTATTTTGTTCTTATGAATATCAACGAGTTATATAAAGGAAGAATATACTTCACTCACCGTCTTCGATGTCACGTACTGGTAACTCGTGGATATCCTGCGGTTTAAACTCAGTAACACCAATCACATAACTGTTTTCACTCTGCAAGGGCGTGTCATGCACGTGTTCACTRTGGTCTACTGAAGGAGCGGTACCAGGCCGTCTTGCTGACCGAGCAGACTGGGAACGYTCCATTCTTCGCTGACTTTTTATACTTCCTGTTCGAGACGGAGCGCGTCGACCGGAAGACCGCACGCTGGATGATCGTCGACGCATTCGTGCTATTGCCTCTGAATAATAATAATAAAAAAAGATTGAGACAATTTGATGGCTGAAAATAAATATCTTTAAGACCACGATATAGCCTCATTTGATACTGGATTGCTTTTGTTTAAAAGTTTGAGTTTGGATATAGTGCATGCTTTTTTAGACACTGCAATGGCATTTGACAACAGTGTTTTTATGATCATATCGAGATAGAAAGCATATTTTTGTCATATTATCACCTTCTGGTATGTTGTCTGGTGCTATTCGACCATTCAAGGCTTCTACAAGAGGTATTTGTTCATAGCCAGGAATGCATTCCTCGCCATCACTTGGAGCCTAAAGC